ACATATATTTATATATATTCCTACACACACATATATCTATATGATATATGTGTAGGAATATAACTCAGCCATCAAAAGAATGAAATCTTGCCATCTGCAACGACATAGATAGAGCCAGAGTGTATTATGCTAAGCAAAATAAGCCAATTAGAGAAAGACAAATGCCATAGAACTTCAGTAACATGTAGAATTTAAGAAACAAAGCAGATAAACATAGGGGAAAGAAAAAAAGAGTGGGAGGCAAACCATAAGAGACTCTTAACTGAAGAGAACAAACTGAGGGTTGATGGAGGGAGGAGGCAAGAGGATGGGCTAGATGGGTGATAGGTTAAGGAGGGCACTTGTTATGATGAGCACTGGGTGTTATATGTAAGTGATGAATCACTGAATTCTACTCCTGAAACTAATATTACACTATATGTTAAATAACTAGAATTAAATAAAAACTTGAAACATTTAAAAAAAAAAAAAGAAGTATCAGGCTCTGACTGAGTAAAAAAAAAAAAAAAACACCCAAAAACAATTTATATGCTGTCTAGCTCTAGACCAGCTAAAACAATGAAATGAAAACCAACAAAGACTAAAAAGATAGCACACAGAGTTTACTGTCTCTTTCCCCTACAACAAACTACCCCCAATATGTTAGGGAAAAGAAAGGTTTCTATCTTGGAGTGGAGAAGTGTTGGAGTTGGGACCGTAACACTGAAAACTGCATGTGTACTCAAAAGAGACAAGAGCAATAAAGTTCTACCAAAAGGAGATGCAGACATCAGAAGGTACTGAGATACTGCAGTTTAGCAACTTCAAACAAAACAAAACAACAACCACAACAAAACCAAAAGTCTGCTATCCAATGGTTGGGTAAGATTAGACCAGATCTATAAAATATGACAAGTTGGTTTTCTTAGCATATCAGAGAAGCAGTAAGGGGCAGTTCTAGATTTTGTGGAGGCTGTTCAAGAGAAATGAAACAAAGTATAATACTTTTACAAATATTACACAAACATATGATCATATGAACACATTGCAAATACTCCTTCCAGGGTCTCAGAATGGGCTCATCTAAGCTAGGGACTTGAAACTTGGGCCAGTAGCTTCCCAGTGAATCTGTCTTTGATGCAGCATATTACAGATGAGAATTTATTAATAAGGGTGCTATCATTGTTCCTCACTCTCTTGCTACAGAAATCTTTCTATAATGAGTTAAGGGGCACTTCCATCTATTGGGTGGCATAAGAAAGGCATTAAGGTATTTAGAACAGAACATGCTTCTGCAGAGGAAAAAGTCTATTTATTTCATTCTCCTCTGAGTCCAAATAGAAATAACCATTTTACAGATCTTGATTGGAAATTGTTTTAAGTATGCCTTTAAAGCCTTGAAGATGGAAGTATTAAATGCTGGCAGCAAAGCTTTATGAATGGGGTGTCTGAAGGCTCCAAGTGAGAGAGGTTGGAGAGTTTCCTGCAGTTCATAGAGGTCATGGAGAGGAAGCTCCATAGCTCAGTCTCCACCCAGTTACCATTTCCAAGCTTCTCAGAGCTAAACATTATGTCACCTCCACAAAAGGGTCTGTGGTGTACATTCCAGATTTCTCCTCACCTCTTCACAGAATTTCCTTTTGATGATCAAGACCTAGTAGAATATTAAGGTTTCTTATTCTACTTTGATGAGCCCGTATTTGATTCCTTCTTCCTCAAACTATGTCCCACCTTTCATGGTCCTAGTGGCCAAACTGTGTTCATGACAACCTTTGTTTATGAGCTGAGATTAACATACTGAATGTTTATGTCTAGTCTTTACAATGAAATAGGGTCATTTGGTATTAGACTGCCTTTGTCATTCCTACAGAAAGATTACATTGTTTTAGACAAACTTATACTGAATCAACTTTTATGATTCTGGTCTATTGTGATATAATTAATAAACCATTATCCACTCTTTATCCAAGTCACTTGATTTTCCTATTTATATGTAATTCATAGTCGAACTTGATTCTATGTGTTTCTCAATACTTTATAATATGTCAAGATCTTTTTTTTTTTCTACATTTGAACAATTATATGAAAATTAGGCTTGGCATTATCCTTATTTAGTTTCCATTTAATTAGTTTTTTTGAATTACAATTTATAATTGTGTATGCTAAAAATGACAAGTTCTTATATTCTCCTGTTGACTGACTAAACAACTCTTCCTATATATTCCATCTATTTTTGCCTCACACTTCACTGAACTATGAAAACCTACTCAACTATTTGAAATGGATTTTGCAATATTTACTAAGATATAATCTGAGATTCCAATCTTCCAGCATACCATGAGCTCACTTTAAGTGTTTCAGAGAGATAAGAAGATAGATAGCTATACAGCATTTATGGAGTGTTTTAAATATTTCTTTTTTATTTTTAAAGATTTTATTTATTTATTTGAGAGAGAGAATGAGATAGAGAGAGCATGAGAGGGAGGAGAGTCAGAGGGAGAAGCAGACTCCCTGCCGAGCAGGGAGCCCGATGCGGGACTCGATCCCGGGACTCCAGGATCATGACCTGAGCCGAAGGCAGTCGCTTAACCAACTGAGCCACCCAGGCGCCCTGGAGTGTTTTATACTACTCCTTCTTAAAATGCAGTATAAGGCAATCTGCTCATATAATTTCAATATTCTTTTTCTATAGTCAAGAGTATATTCAGAAAAATATCAAATTTGAATCTGTCTTATGTAAGAAATCAATTTTCATGTCCTAACAGGTTCTTCTTAACAATGGCTAAGATACTATAAATATAGGTACTTCCATTTTAGTGAGAAATCCTATAAAATCGGTGTCTTCACAAATTCCTGTTTATACAGTCCATTTAGTGACGATGTTATCCCTTTATAAAGCATTCATAACTGCTGTGTTAGAGGTCTCTGTGACCAAAGGAGCCACTTGTTTTTCAATGAATCAAGCATCCATTGACTTGGGCCCACTGCTTGGAAATCTGAAGCATGTCTGCATAGTTACCAGTTTACAATTGTATTTAAAAATTCACCAGGCAAGATGAATGAGAGGGAATATTTCTTAAAAGAAATTAAGACTAAATGCATGTTAGGTGTTAGAGAGGAGGGAAATTATCATGGGGTAGAGATAAAATAAAGCTTGGGGATATGGGTCTAAATTTTAACAATGACACTAATTCATAACTTTGATGAGGGCCAGTTGAGCTATCTGTCTAGGCCTCAGTTTCCTTGTCTGTAACATGCTGTGATTAAATTCAAATAACATTTCTCAAATATATCCCATGAGCTCTACAGCCAAGTAATGATTTTGGAGAAGAAAAGAAAAGAAAAGAAAAGAAAAGAAAAAAGAAAGAAAGAAAGGAAGGAAGGAAGGAAGGAAGGAAGGAAGGAAGGAAGGAAGGAAAGAGAGAAAGAGAGAGGGAGGGAAGGAAGGAGGGAGAGAGGGAGGAAGGGAGGAAGAGAGAAAGAGGAAAAAGAAAAAAGGAGAGGGGCCTAAGAAGTATAGAGAGAGTGCACACTGAATCAGTAGATTCTCAGTACCTATTAAATGAGACCCTCAGTATCCTGGCAGTAAATAAATATCTTAAATTGTTTTGAAAATTATTTTCTGAGTGTATTTAACTAGAAAATCCCCTCCAAACTCTCCTTTTATGACACATCTATTAATATATCAAAGAAATACTATTACAAGAGAACTATGTTGGGAGTTAGCTTTAATATATAGTACATTTTCCTGAAAGCTCTACCTTCTCCAAGAGTGTATTTCCTGATCTTAGAGCACCTGGATGAAGAGTTTCCTCCTACATGGCACTCCCCTCCCCAATCACTGCCTTGGAGTTGCTCCAGTCATCCAGAGGGATGAGCCACCCACACAGTCATCTCCTTGGCCTCTGTTCTGGTCATCTCCATCAAGTATGCTCCCTGTCCACTGTTCAGTGCTCATAGCCACATCTCAGTCCAGGACATTCTTCCACAGTCCACATCACATCAGTCTACAATTCTACTTGGGTTCTGGTTAGGAATAGAGTCTGCAAACCTCCTTGAACTACCACCACCCTCCATAGCCAGAGCTGACTTTGAGCTCTGCCAGTGAAAGAGCATTCCACTCTAAGAAGATTTAAAAAAATAGCTCTTAATCCATCCCCTTAATTGGTACAATAGCTACTAAAGGATTTATTTTATCACAGGTGAAAATTTTACTCTCTCCCCTATGGAGGTTATTCTCTGTGCCAGCCTGCAAAGAATTCATGGTAACTGACTTAATTTTCTCACCTTGGCCTACTGTTTGTCCAAACTTCCAAGAATCCCTTTTCACCCACCTTCACTTTTTCAGGAAATACAGTTTA